AAAAATGGGATGTGCAAAGAAGTGCTTCAAAAATGAGAGGTGAGCTCCCGTGCTCAGGTTGAAGCATAGCCTTTTCTAAAACACTTCATTTCATTTCTCCTAGTTTTTTTCTTTCTCTCCTCCCTCGCTCCACCCCATTGTGTATATAAGGAAATATACCTAGTTTTCTCCTTTTATCTTTGGAACAAAAGTGTGAGCTGGGTTCAGATGAAGGATGCTGCTTGGTCCAAAGTTTTCCAGTAAACTTTGTAATGAATTTGCACTTAAGAAATCATGGTTCTCCAGCACTCCAAAAACTGCACTGGTTGCCTCTTGGTGGGAATTGAGTATTGCTAAATACTGATTGTTGGCTCCATTTCCATCAACACCACTTACTGCCTTAATTCCCAGTTAGAAGGAAGAGATTTTCCCACTACCCAAGAACAGGAGAAGCTAGTTTGTTCAGTTTACAAGTTGAGAATTTATGAAATCCATTTTTCTCAATTGCCAGTTTATTTTATTTTAGCTGGGTGGTGCAGGAAACAACTTTCTTGTTAAAAGTGTGGGAGTTTTTCCAAAGTAGCTACTCTGTAAATCCTCTGTTCCGATGTTGAATACTTGGGGGTAGTGAGTGGGGAGTGGAATCTAAAGCATACAAAATGCTTTAATAGTCCTTTTTCATTTATTTGCACAATGTTATGAAATTATTAAGATTGCCGTTTCCCATGTGGTTTCTGGTGCTAAACAATTGGTTTCAATTTTTAGCACTTTTGAGCAGTCTATCTAGAAATAAAGAAGCATTTGGATGTATTTGGGTTGCAATCTCAGAATTCCCTGCTACAGTAGTTTCAGGCACGATGGTGAGAATTTGGAGTGGTAGTTTCAACATCAGAAGGACACTAAGTTGGGAATGACAGCTTCAAGGACCAAGGACCAAATTAGATAAATGTGAGCGAGAGCTGTATTTGGAGAACGGAATGCTTCCACACAAGGTTTTAGTTATCCACTCTAATTCACAAAATTTTATGGAGGTGGAATCATCATTGTATTCTGCTTCTAAGTTTCCTATGTTTTCAGGAATGCAAGATTAGCTTCTGCTGCAACTGTTCAAAGTAGCTACATTTTTCCTGGGGGGAAAATATGTATGCTTTAAAAACTGGCAGAAAGGGGAAGTTGTTTCTTTGGAATTACTACTGTAGGATTTAGTAGTCATTTACTTTAATAATCAAATAACCAAACACATTACTTCCACAAGATATAAAATAATTGTGTGCAAAAAGGGAAGGAAACACAAAAAGAAAATAAACACAAACATAAGTAAATGTCTACACATATTAAATAGATATACAGTGCATCTCCATTTTGAAAATGTATCATCCAATTTTGTTTACCTCAAGTAATTTTAAAAATAATCTCCTGGATCTAAAAAAATGAATCATCAGCAATACTAACATAATCTACATTTTAAAATATGATCTTTTTTATTGTCTTTTTTAAAAAAAAAATATTGGGAATCCTTGGCATATTTGATTGTATGTGGTCCTTGGTGCTCTTTGACCCTGGTTATTTTCTTGCAGATGTTTCATTACTACCCTAGAATACATTATCAGTGCTAAGGAAGCGGGGGTTTTTCTCATTATATATACTAGTGATTTGCCCCATCATGTTATGGTATGGTCTTGGTGGTTCCCTGATTAATTGTAGTTTATTGTTAGCTACTTTGTCTCAGTTGGTAGTTCCGTGAATAGGGTATTGTTTACTTCTTGATGGTTGAATGATAATCTCTGCTTATCTGGGTGTTGAATGCTGGGGAGGAGATGTTTTGATCTTTTGTTTCCTTTTTGGCTATTTGACTGTCTCTTTTGAATGGTATGGTATATAGATATACTGTAGATGTAGAAGCCAAATCCAAAAACATTACAGAAATTCTTGGAAGTCTGGTACTCAGACAAATTGGCCATCAACAGGCACCTAGAGATAAGCAACATCTACATAACATTCAAAAGAGACATATAAAATATATAAATATATAAACATAATAAAAATATTATTTTTAAAATGTAAAAAATATATATGACTATGTGTTCGTGGTTGTGTATTTATTACACACAAAACATCAGACATTCTTGACTAAGAAATATTTTCATATGGAATAGGAAAAAATAAAGGTAAAGAAAGGTAAAGGTTTCCCCTGTCCAGTTGTGTCCAATTTTAGGGCCGGTGCTCATCTCCTTCTTCGCCAGCATTGTCCAAAGACATTTCCTTGGTCATGTGGCCAGCATGACTATACACCAAGGCACTCTTATCTTCCCACCAAAGTGGTACCTATTTATCTAGTCGCATTTGCATGCTTTTGAACTGCTAGGTGGGCAGTTCAAAATAACACCCAATACCCAGATTTAAAAAAATTAATTGCTCTATAAATCACCCTAAAAAAGTTTAATCACCCTAGTTTAATCCTCATTATACCATTTACGTTTCTAAACAATTTGAAGGGGCAAATCAGAAAAAATGAATATCTTTTTGTGTTTCCAGTTCAAAGACTTAAACTGTTGAGGCCACAACAAGATATTAACATAACTAATAATTTTACAGAACTGAACTACTACCAGACTAAGTCTCTATAATAAGTGGGAAAGGGAGCCTAAGTGATACACATTTTCTATCTCCAAATTACATTCTGGCGGTAGTGAAAAGAAATTACTGTTTTTTTCCCATGATTGTCTCAAACATTGATCCAGCACTACATTATGAGGATTTTTTTTAGAAAATGAAGATTGTTCCTATATAAATAACCCTGTAAATAGGATGGTTTAACTTAGGGTTTTATCATTTTTTTATTGTTTTATTTCAAATTATTAGGAATAATTCTATAGCATGGTCACCATATTTATTTGACTAACCTTTTCAAACTTCCATATCTTATATAGATAGGTGGGAAGTATCTAGAAATTTGTAGTTAAACCTCAGGTAAAAGCTAGAAATAGCTAATGTTAAGACCTACCGGCAACAACTTTTTAATTTTTCAATCAGGAAGTTTTCCGAATTCAGGATTGAATCTAGGACTTTTTCAATGAAAAATCTTATAGTACTCTGTTATTCTGATATATCTCTTCTCTCAATGCTGCAATAAGTGACAATATTTTTTTTTCTTTTTCCATACATAACATCCAATAGCATTTATCCAGTCCACTGCAGATGGAATCCATATGGTCCTTGGTCAGAGTGTGATGGCTGTACTAAAACACAGGTATAGTATTATAAACACTTTCTGCATATCTAATTGCTTGGAACTTTCTCCAAAATCATGAGCTGATTTATATTTCTAGACTCTTAGAAGATTATATACAGGTAGTCCTTGACTTACGACCACAATTGAGCCCAAAATTTCTGTTGCTAAGTGAGACATTTGTTAAGTGAGTTTTACCCCATTTTATGACCTTTCTTGCTACATTTGTTAAGTGATTCACTGCAGTTCAGTCAGTAGCACAGTGCCTTTCCCATTGACTTTGCTTGTCGGAAGTTCGCATAAGGGGATCACGTGACCCCAGGACACGGCAACCGTCATAAATATGAGTCAGTTGCCAAGCATCTGAATTTTGTTCATGAGATCATGAGGATGCTGCAACTGTCATAAGTGTGAAAAATGGTCATAAGTCACTTTTTTCAGTGCCGTTGTAACTTTGAACGATCACCAAAAAAACTATTGTAAGTCAAGGACTACCTCTACTGGAGATGCTAAACAAGGGGTGTTGTGTTCTTTGTATTCCCCCCCCCTTAATCCCCTATGCATATCCTGATCACCCATTAAGGGTGATTGCCTTTCACCATTGATCGCCCATTAAGGGTGATTGCCCTTCACCATCTGCATACAGTTTCATGCCCGTTGCTGGTTGGCTAACTAGCAACAGGGTCTTGCCAGCCAATGGAATTGTGTGATTACAAGCCAGGGGAATCCCATAAAAGAGGGCTCCCCTGGCCCAGAGAGCCAGTCCGGATTTACTTTATGCCTTGCCAATAAA